TACATTAATCTGAAAGATAAGGACATTATTATGATTATGATTATTATTATCATTATCATTATTATCATTATTATCATTATTATTATTTTATTTTTGTTGTTATTATTGTTGTTATTGTTATTATTATTATCATTATTATTGTTTATGTTTGTATTATTATTGGTATTCTTATTGTTATTGTTGGTATTGTTATTGTTATTATTTTTATTATTATATAATTATATATTATTATTATTAATGATTTATTATTTAGACTCAGAGGCGTCTGAGTTTGGGCTGGGGAAAGGCTGTTTTAAGTTAGTGCTTTCCAACAGGCAAACTTACAGAACTTTTATCATAACTCTTCAGATGGAGTCTCACGAGGGAACAGGGTTTAATTTCTTATTTCTGAGTTCTTAGCTAATTAGGATGAAATGACAGTGTCACACATGGAATTAATTGAATTCTGCCAGTAATGCTTAAACTCTTTAAAACATTTCTACCTAAATGAGCTCTTTGCTAATATGAGCTGAATTTTTCAGCTCTCCAGGCCAATTTTTGCACAATAAGATATGGTATTTATGCATGGGGAGGCCTCAATGTAATGCCCTCTAGTGCGAGTTCTAATAAAAGGCTGCTCTGTTTTGGCTCCTTATTAGAACAACTCTATAAATAACCTCTTTGTAACAGGGACCTTTTAAAAAATGTGAAAAGTTTTGCTCCAAAATCTCCTGGTGCACATTGTGCCACCATCTGGCAGATCTGGCTTTCAGGGTAGATACACCTCCCAGCGCTGCATTCACGCTGGGGGAGCAGAGTGCCAGAGAGGTGAAAAAAAATGCAGTCTTGGGAGAAAAGACATAAGCTGCCTTATGTAAACCAACACACACACCAAAAAAAAAAAAAAAAAGCTGCACAGTTTTAATATATCTTGGGAAGGGTCCACAGTGCTTACTGAAGCAAAACTCATGCTGATTTAGTGTCTAAGACCGCTGGACTTAGTCTTTAGATTAGTGTATGTTATGCTTGCGTAAAAGAGCTTGGAGACATTGCTGTTTTCCTACATTAGATTAATTTTAGAGAAAGAGTGCTGTTGTGAGCAGTATTGGCTGCAGAGGCAGAATTGCCATTGGAGCAAGACCAGATACATAAATCAATGGCAGCAGAAAAAGAAAGATTTACCAGTGCTGAACAAAAGACGATCTAATGACCATCTTTTTATTTATTTTTATTTAGATGATAACGAGTTTATGTAGATGATAATGAGTTTTTATTTAGATTACAACATATTTAGAGTTTGCATTTTCTTGCCTTTCTCCAGAAGACCCAAAGCAGCACCGTGCCTCCAAAAAGCTTCACTCATCTCTTTGTTTAGTAGCTTTCGAAAATAGCACACATCTTTTTCCCCCCATAGTGTTTCGTTTTTTCTAAGGCGATCAGTTAGTTTTTACTTTTCTCATATGAGATATTCTTAATGAATTGGCATTTGACATTCTTTCCTTCGTCAATCAGTTTTGTACATCGTGAAAAAGCTCTGCTTGCAAATTCCTAGCATATTTTCTCCCATATCTTAATCTAAGTAACTAACAGAGCAAGTATGTTTCTGTAGAGTCACAGGCAGTTAACTAGAGCACAGGATGAGTGACTATTAATGAAATCAGGGTGATTTCTCATTTTCTAAAATTTGTGTTATTGTTTCGAGAAGGAAAGCCCAAGATAAACTACCGGTAGAAAAGATACGTTCACTGTATTGAACAAGACTTTGATAAGGGTTTGAGAAAACTGCATATGAACTACAAATTCTGGTTCAGGTATATTGCAGATACGAAACTGCTGTATCAGGAGTCGTTTTGTTAGTCAGCACTGGTGGATAGATGTGGATTTTTCAATACACGCTGATTTGATGGAAATAACCAGGAGGACTAAACTTTAAGGGGCTGTTCTTGAGGCACGGATATGCTGAGGAAGTAGCACGGCGGTATGAACTTAACCAGCTTTGGCTTTTGGGGGTGAACTGGGAATAGCAATAACTTACCAAGAGCTGAGTAAGGAAGTTCAGCCTCTTATAGGAGCGCTGTCAAATGGAGAAAACTCACCAGGTCATGCACAGAAGCAGAAAAGCAACTGGACCAGGCAGGATCCAACCTAACTGGCCACAGCAATGGTGGGGGAACTAGTTTGACACGGGTGGTGCAAAAGGCAGAGCGGCCACAAAGGATGCTGTATTAGGGGTTTCTGTAGCCTAACGGTCTGCCAGCGTCACTGGGCTTTCCCCACTCCTCTCTTTGTTAGCCAGGCCACACTCTTAAATGTCGAGTGGGGTTTTACCCTCTTCCCTCCCTCCTCCTCCAGTACAGAAGCTGCAGCCACTCCTGAATAATGCAACTAGAGACTCTGAGACAATTTTTTTTTTTTTCCCTGAGTCTCTGCTATGTAAATTATGACTTATTCCTGAAGCTTTAATTTCTAGTCCAAATGCCCCCAAAAGCATGAACCTCCAGAGGAAAGGTGTACTTTCAGTGACAAACAGAGCCAAGAGAGAATGCAGGATAGGCCTCAAGGGATGGCCAGGGATAATCCCGGTCTCCAGTCCTGGGAAGACGCTGCTAGACTGAGCGCTAGCACCAGAGAACTGCCCAAGCTAGGGCAATTAATCATGCGAGGAATCTGATTGCTGGATTCTCCTGAGGCAGGAGGTGATGGTGCAAGTGGTGGAGATGACCACATCCCTAATTCACCAAAAGCAAGAGGACTCCTGCTGTCAGAAGACGGCGATGCCTTCCAACCCGCGGCTCACACACAGCGCGTGTGTGTCCCGTCTAAGAAAGGTGTTACCAGTTCGTGCAAGCTGTGAAATACGGCATTCAGAACATTTAAGTGTTGGAGGATTAAGGCAGCTCATGGAACTGCAGTTTGGACTCTTTCTGCTAACGCTTTTTTTGATGGCAGCCTTAATCATTACTTGATCAGATAAGGATCTTCTGGGCAGAACTGCTGCTGCACAGGCAGTGCTGTCAGTCGCAGTGTAGAGCGTCTGCTGAAAATTGAAGGCACTCGTTAGTGCTCTGCCTCAGTCTCAGTATGACATTGCTTCCCCTAAGCAACCCATTTTTGTGATAGGGACAACCTTCAGTCAAACACAAGAGGTTCTGCTAAGGAAAAAAAAAATGTATCTATAATATTTTAATTTTTAAGGATTTACTAGGAGGGAGGCACATGCAGTAGGGTCAGCCTCTTAGCCGTATCCTCACCTCTAGAAAATCAGTGCAGCTCCACTGTGGTCACCAACAGTTACCTTAGCCGTTAGATTTAAAACAATAGGTGCCATGTAGGTACAAACAATACATGATAAATATCCCAAGCGCTTACTATAACTGCGAAATATCGCCTGTGTCGCAGTGCGCTGGGGCCTGTTTCCAGGGAGGAAAAACCAGCATGCAGCTGACAGCTGTTCCCTTGCTGAGCAAATGCTTCTTCACAGGCATCACAACCCTCAGCTAGCTATTTCAAAAAGGAGATGGGGGGCCTTCATCAGAGTTGATTATTGCCAGAAAGAATAAGCTGCAGCCTTATTTTCCTGGTAGCCTGATTTATAATGGTTTCACTACTGCTGTTTGTTTTCTTGTTTTCCACTGGCCTGGTAAAGTTTGCCAGGCTAAGCGAGGTGGGAAGAAGGGACTCATTATTTTGTTCTTGAGCCTGGTGTTACTCTCCCATAGCTTTCTCTGTACACTCCTATGGAACACGTTGAATTTGCACGCGACTGGAATTGCTTTAGCAACTTATTTTGTACCACTGTGTGGCTGTTCCTCTGTTTGCAGTGGGAGACAGCATGCTACTCCACCGGACTAAAGCGTGGAGACATGAATTAACGTCCTCCGCTCAGCGCAGATGAGCACATTCCGGTATTACAAGCAACCACCCAGCCCGAGGGAGTGAATTTATCCCTAACTCAGGCTAGGACTCGGGCAGTCTCAGTGCCCCGTCAAAAAGTAACTCAGTTCAGTCATCGCTACCAAAAAATAAGAGGTTTAAATTGAGAGCTATTTTAATTTCCAGAATATTGCCAACTATCGCGTCTTCTTCTTTCTCCCTCCCTCCTCCCCGGTGTTTTGCTGAATTTTCTTCCAGGCTCTCAGAGGACGGAGTGTAATCACGCGTAACAATATAAAAAAAAAAAAAAAGAAATGACAGTTATAACCAGAAGACGGCAATCCAAACCCGAAAAAAGAGCAACTCTGGCCAACACGGGGGACGGAAAGTCGTTGTTCCTCCATCAGCCCGTAGAAACCACGGCACAGCGAGAACGCAAGCGTGTCCTTAGCGCCCGGCCGCAAGCCCAGCCTCAGTGGCAGGAGCCCAAGCTAACTTTGGGGGGTGCAAGCCGGATTCTCCTTCAGTTCTGCCGGGCTTTCAGCATGTTCATACCGCTGCGGTTACATTGCATAAAACACAACGCAAGAACACGCCATCAGGCAGCGAACGCTCGCTCGCGCGGGGTTTTACCTGCAAGGAATGTCAAACCGCGCCGTGCCCTCGGTCCCGTCCCAGAAATCGTTAAAAACGAGAAAACGAGAGGCGAGTTTGCCCGGCAGTTACCGAGCGGGATTTATCACGCCCTCCCGAAGCACCTGCGGGGAGGTTTCCGTGAATCGAGGCCACGGGGGCGGCCGGGTGCTGCCCGCCGAGAGCCGCGCCCCGGGGCGGTGGGAGCAGGCGGGGCGGCGTGGGCCGTGGGGTGCTCCCCGCGTGGGGCGCTCCCCGCGTGGGGCTGGGGGCGCGGGGGAGCAGGGAAGGCCAAGACGCGCCCCCCCCCCCCCCCCCGCGGGCCCGGCGGGAGGGCTCGGTGCCGTCGGGGCTTTGCCTGCGGCGGGGCTGGCGGCGACCCACACCGCCCACGCACACCCCGCCCTTACACCTTTCCCCCCAACCCACGCCCCCCGGCAAACACCTTCCCGCAGCGTGCCCTTCACCCGCCCCCGCAGCCCCCCCTCCGCCGCCGCCTCCCCCGCTCGGCCGGCGGCAGCGGCGCAGGAGCCCGCGGGCGGCCGCGCAGGATGCGCGCTCGGGCGCCGCCGCCTCCCCGCCCCGCCGCCGCCGCCGCCGCCATGGCGGTGCGGAGCCGCGGCGCTTGGCGGCGGCTGCTGCTGCTGCTGCTGCTCCTGGCCGGCTCCGCCGCCAGCCCGGCGGAGGAAGGCGGCGGGCGGCGGGAGGCGGGCGGCGGGGAGCACGGCGAGGAGGCGGCGCGGCCCCACCACCACGACTCCTCGTACGGCACCTTCGCCAGCGAGTTCTACGACCTGCGCTACCTCTCCGAGGAGGGTGCGGCGGCCGGGGGCAGGCGGCGGGGACAGGCGGGGCGCGGCGAGACGGCCGCGGGGGAGGGAGGGCCGGGCCGGGCCGGGCCGGGCCGGGCCGGGCGGTTGGTGGCGGCCCGCAGGCGGCGGCGGCGGCGGCGGCGTTGTTCAGCACGAAGGCCAGCGCCCGCCGCCATCTTCCGCCCGCCCTGCCGCTCGGGGGCCGGGGCCGGGACCGGGGCCGGGACCGGGGCAGGGACAGGGGCAGGGACAGGGGCAGGGACAGGGGCAGGGACAGGGGCAGGGACAGGGGCAGGGGCAGGGGCAGTGGGGTCCCCCGGCTGCCCTACCCGCCGGCCGGGCCCCCCGCAGGGCCAGCGCCTCGCTCGGGCCCGGGCATTTCCCCAGGCCGGGGGCCGCGGGAGGGGCCCGGGGGGGGGGGGGGGGGTCCCCTCTGAGCCGGGGCGGCCGGCGGTGGCTCGCCTGCCGAGGTGCGAACTGCCCTCGCGAAAAAGCTTTCCGGACCGCTTGACTTAAAAGGAGTTCGGTTTTTTGTGGCTTTCGAAATGCCGTGTGGTGTCCGAAGTGGTAAGAAGCGCTGTAGTCCTGGATTTTGGTGGGGTTTTCTTTTTTTTTTTTTTTTTTTTTTTTGCATTTACAAATGCGGGAATGTTAAAAACGCCGGTTTTTGTGGCTAAACTGCATTGAAAACCGGTTGTTTGATGCATTTGGACAAAAAGGAAGAAGCGAGAATAGAGGGTGACCAGGCTTTCAGTGATGCTCTGCTACAGGCTGATCTGACATTTTGCCGACTTAACACGTTTACGCTGGGTAATTTACCCAGGCCCTTGGTACAGTTAATGGAGGCTGTAACCTGCAGTTTACAGCATGCTTTCTCTCTCCGTTGGCATCGTCAGAAATCTAGGAAGGTGAATCAGGGCTCCCAAATGCCTAAGGTTGGGTAGGTTAAACTTTTGTGTGCAGATGCTGTAACTAACTGCAATGTTTATTTCCTATTCAATGAAGTACTTTTAGAGGACTTTCTAGTTTCACAGCTAGCGTTTTGGTTGTCAGCTGGCTAAGTAGAAGAACATCTTATTAAAATACCTGTGTTCATGCAACAGGCAAAGACGTCTACGAGCCAAGACAGAAAAGGTCTGTTTGCAAATGTTCACATTTTCTCTTTGGTGTACTATCGTACAGCAGACAGGATTGCTTGGGATCATAACTGTCATTGTCCGGCTCTTCTGGGTCTTTCCTCACAAGTGACTGTAAATCATAACTGCAGGCAATTATTCCCTGTTTTGATACCCTCTGACCTTTTATTGCAATGCATGTTTTATTTTACTTCTTAATGGAGAACGTATTACAAGGTCCTTTCGGTATCCATTCCTGCAGCTCTGAATCTGGCGCCCTGCATTTGTACTTGATTCTGTCATTTATGGCTAAGGAGTCAGATTTAGCTCCCTTACGGATTTCCCGAGGGGACTAAGAGTGCACAAAGACACAGCTGAGTGGAGATCCCTAATTGTTTGTTGACTGTACTACTCCGTGTTCCTGATGCCTTAAGTTAACTTTTGCCCTTGGTGTAGCAAAGCTGTGCTCCGGCATCCTTCTCCCTTCTTGACAAATGTAGGAAACCTGAGAAAATGTTTGTTTTCAGTTATCAGTGTTACTTTCGTACCTGGAATCCAACTGAGCAAGGCGTTGTGTATGTGACAAAGTAGTCCCTCATCTGAACAGCTCGGTTATCAGCAGACAAAGTAGATGCTATTGGAACCCTTTCGCTTTAGTATTAATGCTTTTTATTTCTTGCATTTTATTTGGTAATATTTCATTCTGATTCTACAGGTTACCCTTTCCCTACTGCTCCTCCTGTGGATCCATTTGCAAAAATCAGAGTGGATGACTGTGGAAAAACCAAGGGATGCTTCAGGTCAGTCTGAGATAAGAGTGCAGATACCTTTGTGTTTGCAAATGCTGTCTGATTGCATTGGAGGCTTTGGTAAATGTTCCATATTCATTTGAATAAATATTCATTATTTAACAACATACTTTATAGTTACGAACTATATTATTTGAGGAAACTAGATTATTTAAGGATATACGTCATAGTTATGGACCTACAGTTATTTCATGCTTCATGTATTTTCATGAAGCACTTCCAAAACCAGGGCTAGGAAAGTCAACAGAGTAATACTGTGTGTAACTAATTGCTTGCTGTACTGTTTAAATATACATTCTTACACTAAAAGGGTCATAATTGCAAACACTTAACTAATGGTACTTTGTGTATAGCATAATATACTGTGTTTTACTGCCATTATACCAAAATGCATTCTTTTAGTTTTTTCTTGCAGAAATGTAATTAAGTTCCTTAGCAGGAAATTGCAAGGAAAAGTTACGTGTCTTTCCAATTCCATATAGGTACGGTAAACCTGGGTGCAATGCAGAGACTTGTGACTACTTTCTAAGTTACCGTAGAATAGGAGCCGATGTTGAATTTGAGTTGAGTGCCGATACTGATGGCTGGGTGGCGGTGGGATTTTCCTCAGACAAGAAAATGGTAAGACACGCACGGTGCTTCATGTCGACCGCGGGCACACTTTTACATGCTAGGATATAAATGGTTTATATTTGATCGGTCAGAAACAGCATATAAGGAAAAACTGACTTGTTGAAAACAAAGCACCGCTCGGTAGCTGCCCTGGGAGCTGAAGCCAGGCCTACTGCCTCCCAGAAACCTGCCTCATCCTTCCTGACACGTCCTTTCCCTTCCCTGAGAATTGCAACAGTATTTCAGTTCAGCTCCCAATGTCTGAATGTTACTAGCTTTTTGCCCTTTTGTTAGAAAAGCCCTCGGGGATAAGCCAATTCAGGTGGAAATGTCCTGTTGTGCTTTATGTCAGCGTTACTTAGGCAAAAGGCACATCAGAAACTAAATAGCAAACAATTTTGTTCTTCAGTAAATCAGCTGACTTTCAGCGATATAAGTATGGCTTTCGCCATTACATTTTGGAAATCTTTTCGTTTCTTTCATACCCGTGTGTTGTTTCAGGGAAGCCACAAATGTATGACAAAATGGCTCCTGCTAATTTAAACATACCTACTCTAGAAAGCAGTCTTTTTAAAACTTCTTCATCTATCTCTCCTGGATTTTATTTGGTTTGGTTTTATGCTCGTTCCTATACTTACTTGTTCATTCACTTTTTGTTGTGTTTCAGTGAGCAAAATAGCAGTATGTAGTGTGCGAATTTCAAAAAACCTGAGCAATAGATGACTTAGGCAAAGGTGGTTTGTCTGTAATCTTTGGTAAAATATTTAGGATTAAAATTCAGTTCATAATGTAGGTGTTTGTATACAGAAACATTCCTGAATATATAAAACAATACTGAACCTATGTCCTAAATCACAAGTCAGAGGACAGGATTGTTTCTTGTATAGTTGTTCTAGGCTAGGACCCACAAAAATGAATGGGAAGACTCGTGCTGACTTAACAACATTTTTATCAGACCCAGAATGAGAAATAAAAGGAAAATGTGATGGCAGGTGCTTTGTAGTCATTACTGTATGTTTTAATATGACACTGTAAATAAACACGATAAAGATAGAAGTCTTTTATGTCATCAAGAACAATTCACGTCACAAGAAGCAGTTCCATGTTTTTAATGATGTGAGGAACAGTTTTACAGCCAAATTTGGGGAAGAGTTTAGATGCCTGGAAATGCAAGTACTCAACAGGGGTTTCAAAGCAGGTCAGCACCTAGAAGCGTTTGGCCCCAAGCAATCAGAGATTGTGTTACGGGTTTGTAACTCTGATATACCTGCACTAGATCCCAGGGTCCCACTGCCTGCAGCTCGTCAGCCCCTTGGAGAGCAGGCGTGGCCTTTCATCCCAGGCACACCAGGCACCATGTTAAGTCTCAGTTACTGGCAAGAAGAATAAAGTAAGTGGAAAGTAAAAGGTTTTGCTTCCAAATTTGCTGCATACGTGTTATAAAGCCCATCCGTCATCTGGACTAAAACCAGCTAGCATCTGTCTTCCTCTCCTGTTCCCCTGCTGACTTCATCCTTCTTCATAACTTCCAGGAGGTTTTGGTGTCCTGGGATGCACAGGCTCGAATGGTAAAATGGCTCTGGGTCAAAACAGCTTAGCTGTGAGAAGTAGACTGTGCTTTGGAGTCCTTCGTCAAAATGGTGTGGCCTTGATAGCTACAGAAGTTCAGGAAAAAAAAACCTTATTTTATGTCCTCAATAGATTTTTTTTTTTTTAAAGTCCTGTGACCCATTTCTTTGTCTCAAATAACATTACGCTTTCCCACTTGCAGGCTCTTGTGCCTAGGCAGGATTTTGTAATGTCATTTCTGTTAACTGAGATGCAGAATGCTTTTTTTCTTTCCTTCTAATATTTTTTCTTCTGTGTGGAAACATATTTATTTTTGTCTCTTTGTACATAAGAATGAGGGATTTGTGTTCAGATATATACAAACTGAACTTGGAAAATAAGTTATGGAGAGCAAGGATAGGCTCAAGACAGGAGCTGGAAAGGTTGCCTGCAGCAGCACCGAGGTGCAGAATCTGTTCAAGCATGGGCTTTACCTAGGTGTCCCCCTTTTCCCTCATTTTGGGCACCTCTTTTAACGAATCCACACAGCAGTATTTCCAGAGAGCTGAAATGCACCCTTTTTCCCTCCTCCCTCTATAACAACAGACAGAGATTATCACGCTAGCAAGCATTGGGTCTGTCATCAGCATGAAAGGTCAGTGTTGGAGAAGCAGGGCCTGTGTGTAATATAGCACCGATACCTGTGGCAGTGGTGGTCAGTTAAATGCCATTCATCCAACTTGTTATTAACTGTGTGTTAACGATGCTTGGTACTAAGGCTTCTGGGAGATAGCGCTCCTAAAATTCATGCTGATCCCTGAGTGCTCTCCCACTTCGTCAGTGACCTGGAGTAGCTGTTCTAGCAGCTGGTTCAATATTTCTGTGGGTGACCTCTGCAAACAACTGTCTCACACTCCCTTCTGTCCGTTGTTTCTTTGCTTGATGGTAATGCTTGGTGGCTGTTCATGATATGCAAAGAAGCACATATTGATTACTTCTTATATCTTACGGTGTTCTGTATTCTGTCAATACAGGCTGAACATTTTTCATTTTCTCTTAAGAGATAAAAGAAGTGATGTTCCCTTAGGTGAACATGAGAAGAGACTAGAAAAGACAGACTGTAATTTATGCTATTATTTCCCCATATTTAGTAGATTCATCACTATTATACTGAATTGTATTATCTTTCTGTCCATGTTTTGATGCAGTGGGGTTTGTACGCATCAAGGATTCAAGACTCACAGTTTTTATGAAGCAGGATCCCAGAACTTCAGAAATCAGGAAAGGAAACAGCCTTCCACTGATCAATTAATTACGTGTTGTCAGGGTGATATCATGTCTTACAAATACGTTATAACTGTTAGGTAAAACAACTCTTAGAAAGATCCAAAAGAAAATTCAGATATAGTAAGTAAATACTGTGCTTTTCAATCTGATTGAAGGCATGTGGTTAGGGAAACAAATATTTCTGTATATATAACTGAGAAAGAAGGAATGAGAGCCCCAGGTCTTACTTAGTTTTTAATGATTAAAGTTATATACATAAAGGAGGAGATGCTTTGTGACGCTTTTGGGTTTTTTTCTACCAATATGTTTTATCATGTAGGGAGGAGATGATGTCATGGCTTGTGTTCATGATGATAATGGAAGAGTCCGAATACAGCACTTCTATAATGTCGGTCAGTGGGCTAAAGAAATCCAGAGAAATCCTGCTAGAGATGAAGAAGGGGTTTTTGAAAACAATCGTGTAACATGTCGATTCAAGCGTCCTGTATATGTTCCCCGAGAGGAAACCATCGTAGATCTGCACTTGAGTTGGTACTACCTGTTTGCCTGGGGTCCAGCAATTCAGGGTAAGTTGATTTCTGTGTTACTGACAGAACTGAGGTACCAGAATTGAGAAAAGTCTTTCGATTACATTATTCTTATTAGAACCCCTTTTTTTAAATGAACTGAAATTCTGGCAGCATGAGGCTTAAAAACAGATAAAAAGGAAGACCAGGTAAATAACAGTCCTACATGTTGTGGGTTCTTGGCTGTAGAGTTATTACCCCCGCTCCTCGAAAATAAATGTAGAACTTCATAACTAGAAATTCTGAATGCCTTTGAAGGATGTTTATTGTTTACTTGAAATTTGTTTTATTCGGAAGTTTAATTTCAGAAGGCAGAGAGATGACCCTATTCACTGACAGCATAATATTGTATGCTCCTGTAGGTTTGAAAATTACTTGGCTGTCTACCTGTTTCTTTGGTAGAGTTACAGAAAACATGCACCTGATGCTATTTCTTTCTGCCCTTACCTGCTAAAGGTTCTATAACTCGTCATGATATAGACTCACCACCCGTATCAGAGCGTGTTGTCAGTATTTACAAGTATGAAGATATTTTCATGCCATCAGCTGCCTATCAGACCTTCTCTTCTCCATTCTGCTTGCTCCTCATTGTTGCACTGACCTTCTATTTACTGATGGGAACCCCATGACTGATGGAAGATAGCAAGAATTTGTCAGTGGAAGTTTCTCAGGATGGACAGCTATACAGATGGACGATGCATTTTTCTATTGGAATTTATATCACACCACCATCCTCATCTAGCTGCTTTTGAACATAGTTAGCTTCTCAGGAGAATGAAATAACCATCTCCTTTGAGTGGCAGAGTGATGACAAATCATTTAAGAATGATCAGTGAACACATACATAGGAGAATATTTTCAGTGTTGTGACTACTTGCTTGAAGAAAAGGAGACTTTTGTAAAATCAATGTGTGTTCGTGTGTATGTGTGTTTGGGAGGGGTGTCTGTATGTGTGTTTAGACAAATTTCATAATGGACATCTCAGATAACAAAATTGCCTTCCAAATTGCTCGCAAAAAGCAAAATTGGGAAAACCTTATAATGCTGTTTGGTACTTCTGGAGCAGACAGCACAACTCCAAGTGCAGTTTCTGAGCTTAAGATCTGGATACCAACACAGCAGTATAAAACCTGCCCTTCAGTAATGGACAGTTCTCCCTTTTTTTTTTTTTTTTTTTTTTTAATATTCATCAAGGTTTATTTGCTCTGGTATTTTCCAAGACTAAACTTGGATAATCAAGCATTAATATGGTTTGTTTGTTTGTTTTTTTTTAATGGAAAAGAGATGATGAATGTCTTTATAATAATAATGTTTCAACAGCCTTCTTGAAAGAAACGGCTACTACTTTTATGAGTGAGATATAAAGTTACTTGAACAAGGGGAAGGGAGAATACAGTGATGTAAATTCTCCGTACATAGGAAAACCAGGTGTAAAACATAATGAATATAGAAGTTCCCAACAAGCCATAGGATGTCCTCCCAAAAGATTAAATCGATTTTTCTCTTTTTATGAAAAAACAGTAATTTTGCTGACATGTAAATACATTTTTAAGCAGTTGTGTAGTAGTATGAAGTAATCTGTTTTTCTGTGTCTTATGCCTGTATATCCTGTTCATGTTAAAGATTAATATGGGCAGCTGGTGTTAACTTAAAAAGAAACGGAAATATAATTGAGATTATTTGCAGGGAAAGATAAGGTTTAATAAGAAGACCAGTATCTTTAGTTTCATCAAACCATTGCCAAAATGTAGTTACAGTGGAAAAAGATCAGCTAAAGCGGAAAAACATTAGATTATTTTATCACCAAATAAATATTACCAAGATGAATGCTAAATATTATTATAGAAATGGAAAGTGTCAAAATGTATTTATGAGCCACAGAATATTATGAAAAACTTTGAATTCCTGTGAAGAATTTCTGTTCTTCACGTGACTGGAAGTGTATGACACAAGTCTACACGTAGCAGTCAAATGTGCTTAGATAAGGTTGTGCATTGACTTCCAAACTTGCATTAAAATTCTATTTAAATAGAATTAAGATTTAAATTGTGCCAAACTTCTATCTAATGTGGTACGTTGAGGACTCTGTAACAGGTTCTGGTAAAGTATACGATGGACCTCCTTTCTATTCTCATTGCTGCACAGAGTGTAAAAAGATTATCTAGCTTTGCTGGGTTTGCATCATTAGTCACAGACTGAAGTCTGTAGACTAATTTTTTAGGCCCAGCATTCTTCAAACCTATGCTTAAAGTATATGAATTAGACTGCAAATGAATTTATCTCCATCACACACGCTTTATCGCTGATTTCAAACGAAAGATTGCTTAGTAATACATATTTTGATTGATGTCTTTAAGGATTTGTTCACTTAGGATTACTGGACTTGAGTTCAGGAGGGGGAAGAGAAATTCAGAATGAAGCGAACTTTAAAAGTACATATAGTAGCTTTAGTTGGTGTAAGTTACTTCTCTCAAATTGGATAACCTACTCATCATCTGATGAAACATACATAGCAGAGACCACCTAATAAGGAAGGTCTGCTTGGGTTCATGATGGCTGTAAAATTTAGCCTTAAGATGGGCTGAAGGAGATAGCTGAAGGATAATGAGTTTTATATTCAGCATCCAGGTGAAGTGAAGGAATCATTAGGACAAGTTATTTCTCCTTTGTGCTAATTTGTAGGCAGCTGAGATAGCGCAGTTCCTTCTCAGAGATGACATCTATTCAAAGTAACCTCAGGGTTGCTTTAGCTTATGGCTTTATATTTACTATTTTAATTTCAGGCACTTACCTGGTTACCCACTAAAGGGCTAATCTAATAATTGAAAGTTACTGAAGTAAGATAGAAACCCATCCCGGATCCTTTTTTCTTCTTTAATACAGTTCTGGATTTAGGATAGCCTGGCTGGCCCCATGCACGGAAGTATGTTAAGGATGCCAATAATGATACCAAGGTAAACGTGCAACACCCGTGGAGCTGTTTTCCACTTGCATGGAGTCAGACGTGTTTAAAGTTCAGGCTTTAAAGCAACAGCAAATTCGGAGCAGAGTAGAGCTGCTTAAGGGTGTGTCTGCTGCAAAGTATAAACTGCTTCAGTCTTCAGCTGTACCCGTGTTCCCAATTACGGTAAAAATACCTTCTTTTTTTTTTTTTTCTTTTTCAGTTTACTTGTCAGTGTGGGCTTGGTGTTTTTGTCATCATATTTTTCTCTTCTTGAAGTACTAGCAGAAATGTGAACTTCTATAAAAACTTTCACCCAAGCCTCAAAGTACTTAATTAGCACTAATGAAGTATTTCTAATCAAGTGGAAGGAAATAAAAGGCCACAACAAGCAGCAAGGCAATCTATTTTCTTTAGTGTTTCAACTGATAGTTAAGTTTAGCACTGAGTTTGTCTGAGCATTGTTCTTCGGAGTGGAAAAAGCAGGAGTATCAGATTCAAGTTGACAAACAAAGAAGGTACAAGTCTTTATAAATTACTAGGTGGGAAGAAATATGAGAAGAAAAAGGCTGTAAGAGAAATTAAAAGGCTTAAACTCACTGGTCTAACTTTGCGTGATACTTGGTAAGTCGTAATATTTGAGTGGGTGTAGTAACTTGTCATGGAAGGTATGTTGATTTTCATGTGTGTTGAGTTTTGTTTTATTTTTCTTTTTAAAATTGAAAAGCAGGATTGATCCCTGTTACACAGAGTTCCTACAAAGTAGCTTTCTTCAAAGTAATTGTTCAGTGATTGTGGCATTTCAAATATTTTTTAAAAATTTTTCTAATTAACACTTACCAACACAAACTAGAGGAAAAGGCCTTCTTTAGAAGAGGAGGCAGACATTGCCTTCTCCAAATCAAGTAATTTTTAGTTTCTTTATGGTGCCTACTAGCAAGCAGCTGTTAAAGAACACATTTCCAAAGGGCTTTTATTTTGAGAATTCCTTGCTGCAGGGTGATGTAATACGGAGGCAGCGAGTTTAGAAAGTGCATGTTTAGAGTATGATGTCCTTTGGAAACTTTGCTTATTTATTAGAAGGATAGGACTGGCAAAGACCACAAGGCATTAATTAACGTCCTTGAACATGTTCTTTCCAGGCAGAACTAAACTTAGTTCTGGCCATTGCTTGTTACATTAACTTCATTATCACCCTCTGCTAATTCTGTCCATCTTATCTATAATGTTTTAAACTTTTTAAAGTTTGTAAGTTAGTTGGAAAAGAAATCAGCTGCTTATATTTGTGACAGTGCCTATTGCAAAGGGACATTGTTTTTTGACTGTACTGTCTGACTGGTACCCTGCTACAAATAATAAGCTAGACCTGAAATGACATTAATAGTAAGTAGGGTAGGAGAGGGGAAAAAAAGTAAGTGGTGAGGACAGACTTTTAAAAAATATTTTTTTCCTTTGCTGGAATTGAATAACTGTGTATATTCTTACGGATAGGTGAGATACTCCTAGATGTTAATTGATTCCACCCCCGAAAAGCACAGCTGATTTGATAATGACCTGGGATACAGGGTGATGATTTCTTCAAAATTCTATCATTATAAGGGAAATACTTGGGTTTTGAAAGGGGACATACTGATGAGAAAAGTTTGAAATCCCTCCGTGGGTTTCTTGTCCTAGATTGGGTTTTGCTATCCAAGGATTGCAGAAAATAAACACTTGTGGTCTCCCTTAACTGAGGAAACCCCCAGATTGGGTTGAAAATTGTCAAAGCTGTGTTTGTCACTGCTTTTTGCAGTCTTTAACGTAGGGATTAGAGACTGACTGGAGCGTGGTGTACATCAGCAAACCCAGGCGGCAGTTCTGAAGCTCGCTCGGGGCACTGTATTCCGGGCCTGAACCGGGAAGCGGATCCCTGCAACCGCTTCTCAGCGGCTACTGCGAAATGGAAATAACAAACAGCACAACCCATCCTACACCAAATCCCTTAAATACTCCTGTCTGCTTTTGCCAGACTGTAGATAGTGTTCTTACTGTGAGTGTTAACGTCTAGTCTTCCTCTGAAAAACACCGTGCTCCTTGTCACTAGCCAACGTCCTGTCCCTGTTTCCACAGATGCCTTATACTGTTTAGGAAAATGATCCTGAGAAGTCTTAGCCCAGCTGTGAAGAGAAGCAAGTGGGTCAGGAGGGCTGACACACAGCTGCCTTTGTGATTATCCAGGTCACAATTAGAAATCTGTCATTGATGATACTCCAGTTTTCTGTGACTGTTGTAAGTTTAAGGAAAGAGGCAGGTCTCCCTATTTTTTGTCTGTCTTCTTACTTTCCCATCCATCCAGTGCATCAGACATTTATAAAGAAGCGACTTATTCTCCTTTTAGCGAATAGACCCTCTGTCAGGTCTTTTTGATGTTTTCTGGGTCCACTGGAAGTCTGCACCATGTCATACTCTAGAGGCAGAAGTAAAGCTTATATACAGACTTCAGAACTTTTATCAGCACGGAAATTACATTTTGACTCCTTGGTTTGACACACTGATGTGTAGCAGAGATCTCTATCGTGAGTATGCTAGTATTTTATACAAAGTATAACTCTGTATAGAGCCTTAGATTTATGATAGAAGTGGAAGCGCATTTAAACGTTACAGTTGTGTTGGTGCTTCACGAAGCTGTGTATGTGCATAAGCTGCATGAATTGGCATCTTCTACTTCAACCCTGACTCCACAGCATGTAATGAGCAGGCTGCTTGAAGGCTACACGGTGAGACACTGGTGACTTCAAATAGTTTGGGGTAGAAGAGCGGAGGGCCTGTTAGGAAGGCTGAATGACAAGGAAGGACTGATGGTTTTGGCACACTTCCTATTTTTGCCTGAGTTTACACGTGGCAGAACACGTCTGGCACTTTTAATCACAGGCAAATATTACTTGATGTGAATATAAGGAACAGAATCTGGCTTCAGTGAGAAGTCAGCTTTTATGCAGGTCCAAGCTGTGTAAGGGCTGATGTGGGCACAAGGTCAGACTGTGCCTCAAGATGTGTACTCTCCGAAACTCCAAGGTAAGAGCTAGAGGCTTGATCTTGCCTTTGGAGGTACGAAAACCTGTCAAGACCCTGTAGAGAGCAGTAATGGTTGGCTGCTGCATATGTATCTGCTCACTGGCCATTTTATAAACAATTACTGCAGCAGTTGGAGTATCAAAAGATGGAGGCTCTACAACTTTTCTTAATAGCTTTCAATGTACATGGTCTATTTCCCTGCCCTAATTAAAAAGTCGTTATCTGTGTTTCTGTAGTGGTGTGTTAGGACCTAATGCAGTTCTCCCACACCCTGCCCAGCACAGATATGGATACTCAACTGGAAGGTTTCTAAAAAAAAAAAAAAAATCTCAATTTCCTGAGTACAAAAATTAATCAAAAGAAAATAACTTATATTTATTGACCATATGTCAACTTCTCACCACTTTTTTTTTTTTTTGTATCTAGTTATTTCTGTGCAATTTATATGTTGATGCATTTGATTTCTGTGGATACAGAGTAAGATCTGCATAAACCTTCCTTTTCTAAGCCTGTTTTATTAGCATGAAATAATCACTTAGGTAACTTTCATTTTATTTTTATTTTACCTTTACAGTGGGTTTGTTAAAATTATGTATGCTTGAACTTGGTTATTTAACTCTTCTAATTTGGGCTCAGATAGTGAGGCAAAAACACTGTAATTTCAAAATGTCAGGGAGGATGTATGCAGCTTGTGGAGTTGATAGGTGTGAAAAAGCAGACTTAAAAGACATTACTTGCTTTGAAAATCCATGATTTGACTTGGCAATAGCAACAAATCTGATGTAAGGAAAGGGGCAGATTTTTTTTTTTTTTTTCTTGGCTTGCTAAATAGTTTGAATTACACTCATAGACTCGCAGAATATCTCAAGTTGGAAGGGACCCATAAGGATCACGGAGTCCAACTCTCTGCTCCTCACAGGACTACCTAAAACTAAAATGATGTTGTCCAGATGCTTCTTGAACTGAGAGGCTCAGTGCTGTGACCACGTCCCTGGGGAGCCTGTTCCAATGATTAACCAACCTCTCAGTGAAGAACTTTTTCCTAATGAACTTCGCTTGATGCAGCTTCGTAGTCATTCGCAACTGTTGCTTCTGCCCTACGTCCGTGGTTCTTCTCTTAAACAGGAGCGTTCTTTCAAACCAGTGTGAGGTTGGAGCACGGTGCAGGACTTCACAGCCCGTATTTTAGAACAGCTGCTGCTCCATATAGGCTCATTTTGATCTGTAGTTAGAGGCTTTTTAGGAAGGTGCGTACAAGGTGAACTTTTATATGGTGCTCCGAAGAACCTTTCCATAAAGGTGTTGTGGTCTTTGTAGACCAGAACATTACAGAATTACCTGGTAGCAGTACTTTTCTGAGCTGCTTCTAAATGATACTTACCCAAATTAATGTTTACATGTTTAAAGAAATAATTGGATTTTTCAGAAGTGCCAAGCAGCTGCAAGTCTTTTATGGCTCCAATGCCTACTCAGAGCAGTGAGTGTTTTATGGCAACCAGCAATTGCATCATGTTGCCTAATTTAGTCTCACATCTCTCTCAAGCTTGACATCTTTCAGTTCGATTTCTTAAGATGGTAATGGTAGAAGACTAAATAGAGGAACAACTCACGTTATGTTTCAAGGAATAAAAAAATGTTCTTGCTGACTTTTCACCAGTGATGTGCAAAGGTTAGATTAATGAGGAATATTCTTCCCAGAATTAATATTTAGGCATTGTAAATTTGCTGAAGGTATTTTTGTGTGTGTGTGTGTGTGTAAGTTTGAGAATTAAACAAGAGTTTATAAACAAAAGGGTAGACTCTGCTTTGGAAATTAAAGATGACAAACCACAGAATCCTACATGTTCCCTGACTCCTAGCTGGTATTCTGGGGGTAAAGTGATCCAGAAGAATATATATATAAACCTGAGATGTTACCTGCTAAGGTATTATGTTTGCAGTTTTTATACACTAATGTTTTATCACCTTCTTGGGTACAAAAATTAGCCTCACATTAATGTTTTTTTTACAGTATTATTTACATTTTTTTCCAAACAAGATGTAATGAGGATAAGTTCAATAAGTCAAGAAAATATTGTCATATAGAGTGTTAGGATAATAGGAAAGGAAGCAGAGATGCCATGTTGAAATCTAGGAAGAAAAATAAAATCTTTCAGTAGAAAATATGCTATTTGCTTCTGAAATATTGGGCTGCTCACATATAAAGCAATGATTTCTTTTTCAGTTTTTCACCATCGGTGATATGAAACCATCGATAAAATTGAAATAGAAAGAATTACCACAACAGATTTTCTCTAAAGCTGAAAGTATCATTCAGGTCTTGACCCAAAGATGACATTCCAAACCTATTAACTAATTAAAAAAATGAAATGGTGGGACTCTGATATTTTGTGTGTGATGTCACCAGCCTTTATTTAAGCAGATATATTTTGTTAGCGTATTTGAAGCATCATGAGTTCTGTTTAGGTTAAAACAGATGCCTGGTATGCCTTGGTATTTCTGATTAATATATCCTGAGGTCTGGTTTCTTTAACCCCTTTGCAAGTAAGCAGGCTGCCGTAACGATGTTAACTCTTGCCACTTTGTTTTGTATTACGTGAAGCGTAACAGTTGAACCTGGAAAGGCATCTCTACCGTTTTGACTTTGTTCAGCGTTCTCAAGGCTAATACAGAGATAGAACATACAATTAAGCAACTTGTAACTATAGTGCTAAGTGGTGTTCTGCATTCTGTGTGCTACAGGCTCTGTTCTGTATGCTGACACCCAGCATCCGTGTGAAGTCAATGAGCATTTGGTTGGGTAGGAGTGCCGAACTGAGGTTTTGTAGTCCAGAAGTAATCATCAAACTTACTTGTATTTATGCACTAGTCTTTTCAGAAAAATAACGCTGAATGAATACATGATGAAATTATGGTGACCTACATGACTGCATGCCCTAAAATCTTGCTTTGTAACGTCTGTTTCATACTAAATGTTGGTGTTCAAGTGAGCCTTGTTAGCTATTTGACAGTGACAGACAACAATATTTATAAACCTGTTATAATAAATGCCTTTTTAGTCTAAGAAAATGTGTGGTATGGCATTTATAAAAGGGGAAAAAAAAGGTCTCTGTGAGGATAAAGTAGTGCTCTGCTGCTTCCCTGTGTTAACAGTTCCTTCCTGTGCCATGGGCTTGAATTTATTTCCCTAAATAATTCCATTTAAGTCAGTGAATCTGGTTACATCACAGATTAGCAGATGTGGGAGACTACAGTTTTTTCCTTTTTCCACTATCAGACACACAGTGAAAATGTAAATAAATGTAATCATCTGTATTTCATCAAAATATTAACCCAATTGTCACTTACTTTAAGTAAGTAGAATGTATGAGGCTCCTGTGGTGACCTCTGTGCTGAGATTTTGTAACCTGTTTGATGCAACTAGAATCAAGTGCCAATATGACAACTTTGGGTGTTCTTTAGCTACTCTCACCACTGCCGCATTGCTTGGCCAGACAGAGCAGCTCCTGAAGCAGTCAGAACAGGCTTTTGCAGAAAGTGAGAAGACTCAGTTGGATTAGAGACTGGGAACAGACAAGGAGGAACTCCCGTAACGCTCAGCAAGCTAAAGCAGCTGTAGAAGCTTCTCAAACAGTGATGCTTCAGTTTCTGAGATCTCTCAGGTTTCAGCAGGAGTTTTAGCTCCTTGCTGGTGGACTAAGAAGAGTTGGCTCAAGGCACCAAGGGACTTACTGCTTTTACACTGTGTGCTCTGTTCTTGGTATTGCTGCCCTGCGGTTGCAGGCTGCAGGAAAGGATGGATCTCGTGTGTCAGCTACTTGTGCGCTATCCAAGTGATCCTAATCAATAGAGGCCTTAAATATACTCAACAGAGGATCTTAATTCTGTTTGTGCTACGTAACATTTGACAGAGTGGTAAGGCACAAACCTGACGAGAACAAAATACTCTGTTAACTCGGATCTCTTTCTATCCAACTCTTGTTCCATGCACTCAGGTCTTACTGGTGCTGTGTTTTGCATGCTGGTCCACTGAGTGAACATCTTGGTGTTGGTGCTGCTGACTGCTCTGCCTGATGGCCACACATTTCGTTCCCCTTGTTAACTGAACAAGGTTCATAGTTTTCTACGTGAATCATTCAAGTATAGTGCTGCTGATAATAGCATATACCGAGATACTGAACGAAGTTGTTTCTGCAGTCAAGTTAGTCACTGCTATAATCACTGGGTACAACCAGAGCCAGTGTTCCCAAGAGCTGTTTTTTCATTTTCTTTTTATCACTGTTTTGTAAATTACATTTAGTTTAGGGTCATCTCATTTTAGCAGTTGACCTGCATAAAAGATTAGTTTTTTCTTTAGCCCAATATACAGAGACATGTGCCAGTGACCTAAAGATGCAGTTTATATCTTAATGATGAACTTTAAAAATTTTGTATTTTTTTTCTTTGGTTCTGCTACTATTGAAATTATAGTAGTTTACGTTGAGTATTTTTAATTCATCTGAAGAGGACATTATTCTGTCGTTAAACTGAGGTGAATTAATGAAGTGAGATTAACCTCAACTGAATGTTCATAAATGTTTCAGTAACACAGGTTAAAACAAGCCTCTCAAGAAGGGAGAGAGTTATTTTCTAAATACACAGGCCAGTGCTGACACCTTGTGGCTTCATTGCTGAGTTAATTCAGAGTTTCATGGGGTTATTTCAGGTATAATTCATGATTAACCTGCTGTTGCCAGCGTTGTCTGTCTCCTCTGCTTCATGGTCACCTCAGTACCCAATATTCTGTTATCCTGTGTAAGAGAGCTTGTAAGTAACTTTGTAACTGTATACAATAAGATAATAATTGTAATTTTGGGCTGTGTTGACTGCACATGGAGTGAATAAAAACTAGGAATGCCTGGGATCTCCTGAAGGGGACTCAAAAGCTTCAGTTCCAAGCACAAACTCAAGGGTACTAGTGCAGCAGCAGGCAGAAGTTACAAGCTTCTCTCTTACTAGTTAATACATCGTTTTATATTTCCCTCTACATAGGAGAGCACTGAGGACTATAAATACTTATCACGTGTCTATTTTTAGGCACAAACCTATCTACATTGACACAGAAGCATTCCTTTGCTGCCCTCTTCACCCGTGAAGAAGCATGAATAGCAAAAATACATCCAAAGGGACTGCTGGAGAATTTCTGGTAGTGTCAGACCCTGAGGTGCACTACTTACCTGTGGCCATAAAAATGCCTAAACCACAATGCGTCTGTGCGATTTATACCTAAATAGGCATCTAATCTAAAATAACATAACATTTCAATTCTTAAACAAAATCAGCTGTTAAGGCTGCAGTTGCTGTTTGAAATCTGTTGTGGAATTAAGGTGTGTGGAGCTTGAGGTGTGTCTTGTAAAGATCACGCATCCTCCCTCAGTTGTCACCTCAGAGGTTGCTTTCTGACGTTTATGGTCATATTCTTGTTCTTAAGTGTTCATGTTGCACTGTGTTTGGTTTTTAAATTTTTATTTCTCATATGTTTAGTAGTTTATAATGAATAATAAAACAGAATGGGAAAGTTTTTCTACAGTATGGACCAAATCCTCAGCTTATGTATACCAGTATTTATAGCTTCACTTAAGCCAAAGAGGTGACATCAATTTCTATTCCTGAAGAACATGACTGCCTGAGTCTGTTAAGAAAAATCAAAGGAATAAGGATGTCCATACGAAGATCTGATTTGCTGGCATCTCTGCTTATCTGACAGAAGGATTTGTACTCTCAACTCCCCCCCTCCTCCCCGTGTAAATCTTAATTGACACTTGCTAATTGAACTTTAACGCAATAAATGCATTACAATGAGCCACTGGAGTCTCTTTGGCATGCTTCCTCCGCTCTGTAGGAACTGAGGAGAAAAGGTTCAGGTAGAGATGCATACTTGTTACCTATTTTAACACCCTGCCGGGAGGCAGATCTCTCTGATCAAAGAGCAGTGAGTGACAGTATCCTTTCAATGTGCAATAAAAGCTTCTCAAATGGACAACTGCCTGTAATGCCTCATCACCCATCAGGATCAAACAAGGTACCTGTAGGCCTATAAATGCCTCCACTGCATGAAATTAAAGCACTTTGTCGAACCTACACGTGATCCGTGCAGCAGAGGAAAACAAGGAGCTGCAGGAGGGATGTCTATAAGCAGGAAGGGGTGCGTGACTGGGGGGAAGGCTCTGCAGCAAGGACAGGTCAGGGCAGCGGGGCAAAGACTCTGGGGAGCGGGCTGTGCCCAGCTGCAGCTTCAGGATACAACACAGTTACAGGGAGTGTGTGGAAAAAGCCTCTACCTTTCCTCCTTGGCGTGATTATAGGGATAGGTCGGCTATATTCTGTTGTCTTTAAATGGCTCTGTCTTTAAAAGCTGGCCCATGAACAGTTATATTCCTGTTTTACAAGTTAAAATCAATTGAGTTCAGGGTCCTTTCAGGTTTTGGCTACCTGCATCATGCAAGAAACACTCCACTAAAGTCCTGGTGGACACAGCTCTGCCATGATGTTACATAATGTTGAACTTGCATGCAAATCCTAAAAAGTAAAAAAAACCAACCAAACAAAAAACAACCAACCAAACAAAAACACGGCAGGGGAATCAAATTCCATCTCTAGATGCACTTTTCAGTGTTCAGAGGTATTTAATCTCTGTAACATGTTGTAGAGGATATGCTACATCTCTCATTCAGAAGAAAGGAAGATGCCTCTGTGGGTTTTAGGGTAGCATTACCAGCAGCTTTAGTACCAACTGGAGTGTTTTGTTAAACTGCGAGAGGAAAACTGCTGGAGTAGCACAGTGCTAGCACTGAGCTAGTTTCAGTGGCATGGATTCCAGCCCTAATAAAACTTGCTCAGACTAAGCATATTCATTATAGAGGCATTTAGACTACCTGTAGAATGTTAGCTGCTACCCTTATGCATGGACACAGAGGTCTGGTGTATGTCAGGTGCAGTGAATTAGCTCCTCCCTGGATTATTTGCAAAAAAAAAACCGTTCAATGAAACATAATGTTACAGATGTCAGGTCTGAAAAACCAGGCAGGACGACTACTTTTTCAGCGGGCCTAATTCCCAGTAAAAGCACCAGATGCTTCCTTGTTAAACATTTAATGCCAGAACTTGTTCAGACAAGGCAGGATTCTCCAGCTGGCCTAACCAGTCTTGCTCTCCGCCTTGCAATGACACTGCAAATTTCCAAGTATTTTCCGTTACCAGAGACTAAGCAGGGCCGGGAGAGCAGCGACAGGGCTGCGCTGCTGGGATGGGGAGGAGGACGTGAAGCAAGCCGGAGGGCTCCTTCGAGCTCCAGCTCCCGGCGGCCGCCTCCGGGAACAGCGAGGAAGGCGCTGGGCAGCCTCGCCCGGTGGCCGGGGCGGGCGGGCGGGAGGGAGGGAGGGATAAAGCGGGGCCCGGGCCAGCCCCGCGCCGCCCCGGCGGGGAGCGCTGCGGCCGGCGCTCCCGGGGCAGGACTACATTTCCCAGCACCCTTCCCCGCCGGCAACTCCCCTCCTTCCCCCGCCGGGCTGGGCGCACGTCCGTGCCCGGGGCCGCGCCGCAGCCCCCGGCCGCCTCCCCGCGCCCTCCCCTGAGGGCGGCGGCGGCGGGCGGAGCCGCGGCCGTGGCGGGCGCCGCGCGGGAGGGGGCGGGCGCCATGGCTGACAGCGGAGAGACCCCGGCGGCTCCGGCCGCGGCCCCTCCGGGCTCGCCGGCGCAGAAGCGGCGGCCGGGCGGCTCCCCCGGCGGCGGGGCGGAGGGCGCGGCGGCCATGCCGCGGCTGCCGCTGGGCGGCCCGGGTGGGGCGGCGGGGGTGTCGCTGCCGCGGCTGGAGAAGCCGATCAAGCAGGCCTTCTACAACACCGGCGCGCTGCTGTTCGCGGGGCTGTGCTGCGGCGCCGCCGTCCTGGTCTACTTCATCCTGGAGGCCTTCCTGCGGCCGCTGCTCTGGGCTGTGCTCTGCGGCACCTTCCTGCACCCCTTCAAGAGCTCCCTGACGGCGCTGGGCCGCCGCTGGCTCGGCCGCCTGCACCGCTCCCGCACGCCCGTCCTGCTGGCCGCCCTCCTCCTCCCCATCTGCTTCGCCAACTACGGGGTGGAGGCGCTGGGCGAGCAGGTGCTGCGGCGGCGGCGGCTCCTGCTGCTGCTGGGCGCCGGGGGGCCGCTGCTCTACGGGCTCTACTGCCTGGGAAGCTCCCTGGGCGTGCAGGTGCTGCTGGCCCAGGCCGCCCGCCTCATCTGCCAGGGGCTGGACTACTTCAGCAGTCAGTGGGTGAGCGCCCGCCTCGGGCGGGAGGGGGTTTCGGGGGGGGGGGGGGGGGGGCGGCGCGGACCCCCCGGGCCCGCCGCCGAGGGCCGGGACGCGGCCCTCGCCTCCCGCCCTGCCCGCCCCGCCGTTGGGCCGCCCGGGGGACGGTTGCGGCGCCGGCCGCCATCTCACTTGTTGCGCGGCGGCGGGCGGGCGGGCGGGGGTTGGGGGGGGGGGGCCGGGGCAGGCTTAAAGACCCAGGCGGTTCCAATCGGCAGGCGCCTGTTTGAAGTTGCCGCAGCCTTTTATTTATTTTTTTTTTTTTTTTTTTCTTTTCTTTTCTTTTGGTACGCTAAAGGAGACAGAAGCTCTCCTCGCCGCGCGCGGGTGGGACCGCCGCCGCGGCAGCGCCAGGGATGCCCGCGCACACACACAAACCGCGGGCAAACCTCCCTCCCCTATAAAGCCCTGTGTAAAAACAGCTTTAAAAGAAACTCCCGCGTTACAGCCCGCGGGGTGGAGGGGTGTTCGGTGTAAAATCATGTGGGTGCAGCAGAGGCAGATACGTTTTCTCTGTCGATATTTCGGGTCCGTGTAGTTTAGTCATGCCCCAGTTTTGAGATGCTGTGAAGTCTGAGGTAATTCAGTCGAGGTCTTGGGCAAACGTCGGCTCTGTTGAGCTGTGAGATAAGCTTTAAGTGTTGTGAAATAGCAGTTCAGCTCTGAAAGCGACTTGGGGAGGGAGGAAGGCATTTTAAAACTTGTTTCTCGGTGTACTGATTTTGGTTTTTTTCCCCCCTTTCTTAAAGTATCAGATGGTGCAAACACACTTTGAAGGTTAAAAAGTAAAGCTGTTTATCTCACAAATTTTACTTACGGTAATAAAGATTCTGGGTGTTTACTTTTCTCTGTCTTGTCTTCAGTCAGTAGACTATTTAAGAACTGGCAGAACTCCTTTTCACTTTGTTAGTTGTAACTGAAAATGGAAGAAATGCTGCATATCTGAAGTAAATGGATAGGTGAAAGCACAGAAGATCACTGAGTTGTACTGTTATTGAATACTGATGTACGATTAGCATGCTCAGATTGCTTAACGTAAGAGTCTTTTTTTTAAGCTGCTCTAGTTTTATAAACAAGCTAAACAACACAGCAAAGTGGAAAATGACATACACAGTTGGTTTAATGGGCATAGACAGATAAAGCTGATGTTCTTAGGTGGGGAAGAGAGAGAAACTGTCAAGAAAAAAAAACAACTCGATCGAGGTTGTCTAGGCTTCTCATTTTGAATTACACATGTTCTTTGAACACTAGTTTTAATCCTTTGGCGGATCTGGTGCATGCAGATATCTCAAATGCAACTTTGGAGGTGCATACCAGAAATAAAACAGTAATAGTTCTCCTGAATGTACTGACAAAGGATATTTGGAGCTATTTCTAGTGTGAATACAATGGAATAGAAAATGTGTTTTGTCTCTTGAAGGTAAACATTGGAAGAAGAGATTTTCTTGGCTTTTTATTCTGACATGTTGGCATACTCTGGAAGATGTCAGGGGAGACGTGCTTCTGGTCTGTTTTGTTCTCAGAAGTATAATTAAGACTGAGTAGACAGAGACACTGTTTTTATGAAGAAGCAAGATAGAGCCACCTTTACTTTCAGCTGAGTGGTGGAAGAATGTAGTGCCTTGGTGCTGATGGGAAGTTTTGATTAGTTGCCACACAGTTTACTTGGTAAGCTCAAGACTTTCCTTTGCATTAGCCTACCCATTTTTTTTTTTAACAAATCAGTGATGTTGCTACACTGACTTGACTAAGTCCGGTTAAGTCTGGTCCTTTATTCAAACTTGGTTCTTTAAGCTGTGCTTGCTTATACTGGGTGGAGTGTATATGTGTGTGTATGTATATATATATATATCTATATATGGGTACTAAAGGAAGTTGCACTGATTTAACCTCACACCAATGGTTGTAATGCACTGCTGGATGTCTGTGTATGCTCGGTGCAATTTTGTTTATCAGTGTCTGATACTTTTGTTTCGGACCAGTGTTTCTGATATGACACTGTGGTTGTTGGAGTGCTGTAAGATTTTAATCAGGCAAAAGATAGTAAGCTCCCAGAACTCTTCTGACTTGAGTTCTTTGAGAAGATTTTGGGTTCGTGTCACCGTAACTGACCATGGACTTCCTTAAGCAAACCAATTGCTGTAGCTTACTAAGCAAGCTGCCCATGACTCTTTCTGGGGCCCTCTATGAGAAAGAAACTGTAGGATTTCCCATTGTAAACAACCTCAACTCAGCCTGGCATCATCACTTTACAGTGTTTTCCTGTTCCAGTTTCTTGAATTTTGCTGTTACCTGATTTATATTATCCGAGAGCTGTAGCAGGATAACTTCAGTTTATCCATGCTGCTGAGAAGCCTTGAGCTGGATCAGTTAACAGTATCTGCTTTAACTTCGTTTAAGCATTTTAAAGCCGTTTAATTGCTGTGCTATATTGCAAGACTCTGTTTGCACATGTATAGTCTGCTTGCTAGCTGCACAGGAATTCTGGATATTACAAGTCACTTTGCTCCATTGTACTGTTCTTCTCTGGGATCTGAATACTCCACAGTTCCTTCTGTATATTATCTTTCATGAAGATTACAACCATTTTTGTTTGTAGATGCTCTGTGTGATAAGCAAAAGTAATGGTAATTTAATTTCTTGCAGAGTTTCTTTTAGCAGCCCACTAAGCCAATCTAGATTTCTGTATTTTTTTGTTATTTTGATATGGAATAACTTAATCAGCATAAAATAAGTAAATTTTCTGCTTAGACAGCAAGGAATATTTTCTTGCCATGAATAGGATATATAATTTTTAGCATAATTGATGAGCAAGCATGTCTCATTTTAAGTGTGAGACTAGTATCTGGATAGCGTAGTACATTTGTTTATGGTAATTTTAATCTTGTGAACTATGAATGTTTGTGCTCCAGCCACCAACAGTCTTTGCCTTGGGCTGCAAAGGTGTTCAGTGTAGTTATTCTTATTTGGAGAAACCCCTTCCTGGAAGACCCTGCTGCTTACGGAGAACAACAACATGCATGATTGTCTTCTCCTTTTCTAATTCCCTCTGTTGTGCTAGAGAAGTGAGGGGATGCCTATCGTTAGAATTTGACTGAGAACGATTATGGGGTTTTGGGATACCAATTCAATGTTCTCTTAACTAATGGTATGTTTATGGTATCTATTAGCCCATGGTACGGTGAGAGAAATTCTCTTAAGTTCCAGAAAAAAAGTATTCTCCGAATGCAGCAATTGCATATAATAATGACATAGTAATTTCTATCTTGGCACCAGTACGTTACAGAGCTTTCTTGTACTGTTGTCCTCCAGTCTGGGAATGACATTCATGGTGTTGAATAGCGAAGATCTGGAAATATTCCTGGCTACATTCTTGTCTGTGGCTTTTAAGTCACACCTGCAATTTGAATTAGGAATCCTAGATATTTCCATGATAGGACTGTTTGATAGATGACTGCAAATCACTGCATTTGAAGAACAAGTCCAAGATCTTAGGCTGGTCTGCAAGCGTCTTGTTCTCGCCGTCTCCTTTTATTTGCCTTTGTGCTTTACAGTTCCTGCATCATTGTTGAAGAAGCTTTCTCAAGAAAAGTAGTGGGCTGCTGGGCCTTAAAGATGGGAGCTGGTTATAAATTCCAGATGACTTCCTTGCTCTGGCTCCAGCCTTCTTGATGGGTTTTTTGCAGAAGTCTTGAGTAGAGGACATACATGCTACATGAAATTCAGTTACTTATAATAGGGAAGGGGAGTGTTTTTCTGTATCTCTGTTTTTTTTGAAAAGTCCCATAGTGGACTGAATATACCCTTACATGTTTATATTCTGTGGCAATTTCAGCACGGTTACTCTTGCAGTTAGTATACCTTCTGAAGTCTAATCTTGGACTGCCTTGTCCTAGTTTTGTAGGAAGTATGCTTGTATCCAGCACTGTATCTAAGGTACAGGAAATTCTTCTGCTTTGTGGCAGAAGTTCAGACTACTTTAGGCTGGCTTTTTACACTTACAGTAATATACAGGAAATGCCAGCTATTGGTTGTATTTTTCTTTTTTTTTTTTTTTTCCCCAGCAGGATTCATATGCTCATATTTATTTAGAAAATAGTTAGTTTGTAGACTCCAACAGATGATACGGATCGTATAGCTGCTCTACATTGACTCTGAAGTACATCTTAGTAAATTAAATCTGATATAATTGGTGGAGTTCTGTGGAGTGAAATTGGTTACAGGGCTGTCAAAGTCTTTTTCCCATGGCCAGTAGTTCTTCCTTGGTTTGTCACAAGTTATTGGTCAGGGTCAGAACTGTGTATTCATGCGTATGGGCATCAGTGTATTTTTATATTTCTGTACTAGGGACATCTCATTTTGTTCTAGTGGTTAGCATGCAGTTAGATGTCCTAGTCAATCCTTTCCTCACTACAGTGCTGGGCAAATCTAGAAACACCATTTGCCACGACCACTGCATTGGAATATTTTCAAGGTAGGTGTTGTCTGTTTTGGCCGACTGACTGTCTGCTCCCCATCAGGGAAGCTATCGAAGATATCCACCAGGGAAACCTCCATTTGTGTTGGCATTAGATGTCAACAGCCCCTAAAGTAACCCTTTCAGACTGAAATTTTCAAACATGCTTCTTGGCAGACATTTTGGGTCACAGGTTCTAAGATGCTTGGCTTCCACAGTGCTATTGGATATCACTTGTGGAGGCAAAAAAGCATCTACATTTTGCCAAGTGCACCTGATGGGGCAGTTTCTCTTCTAGCAAGGGAAAGGGTTAAATTTGACTATAATGTTGGAAGAACTACAAATGAGAAAAACACAGTTCTGATTTTTGAGTTGCATATAATTCCTATTTTTTGAGTGTTTCAGATAGGATTTTTTTTTGTTTGTTTGTTTGTTTGTTTCCTCCCTCCTTACTTTCTTAGAGGTGGCTTTTCTAAAACTTGCCCAGCATAAAAAAAAAAACATATCT